GACGAAAGAAAGAAGACGAACAAACGACTAATCTGCTGCCTGGCATTACTATAGCATTTCTTCTCAGACACTCGAACCACGTGTATGTCATCATTATTTCATATATCATTCGTTCGATTTTCCTTCACATAATATTAATCTTAAATTTTTTTTAATCAAAGAAGCAAGAAATAAGTTGCATTACTATGTCTCCGCTACATTCGTGTCTATTTCTGAGGTTATTACTGGTAGTTTACGCTGGAAATAAAATATGGTTATGTCAAAAAAAGTCTTTATTTTTTGATTAATTTGAGTAAAAATCGATATTTTCGATAAATTTGATTGAAAATTGAGTTTTTTGAGGTTTTTGATGTAAAACTGATTTAATCTAAAAAAACCCAGCTTTCCCCCCCTTGGTGTCGTGGTTATCCGGGACGGTTGTCTAGCACAAATGGCTAATTTCCAGCATAAATGTTTTACGCGTCTATTAAGCTCTAGCGAAATGGCGTACGCATTTTGATACTCTGCAGCATAAACGCCTCCTTGTCTTCATTCGTAACCTATCCGGGAGCGTAGTCTGGCACAAATGGCTATCTTTTAGAGTAAATGACCTTTTTTCTGGAACAAATGGCTAAGCCATGTGTTACTTGCTGCAAGAAATTGCTCTTGTACTTCCATAAATGGCTTGTATAGTACAAATAAAAAATGTCTCCTAGGAGGGACTTAATGATTGTATGTTCTTTGATATCCTTCGTCAAATTTAGTGAAAAATGCCATTGAAATAAAAACAAAGTTTCGCTGATAAAGGCCTATTTGCTCGAATAAATGGCTAAACCATGTATTAGTTTCGAAAACAAATGGCTCCTATCGTGCAAAGAAAACATATGTGCTAGGAGACACTCTCTAGTATAAATGGCTATTTTCTAGGATAAATGGCGTTTTTTCTCGAATAAGCAAAGCTGCAATTCCAGTGCTGAGCTTCTCTCGTCGAACATACAACCATTTATCCGTATTATAAGTAATAAATGGCTTCGTCATTTATTCGAGAAAATAGCCATTTATGCTAGCGATTCCCTCCTAGGACACACTTTTTCGTTGCACGATAGGAGCCATTTATGCAAGTACAAGAGCTAGTTATTCTCGGAAATAGTAAATGGCTTAGCGGTCTATTACCCTCTAGCATAAATAGCATAGCCTTTTATTATTCTCTTGCATAAACAGCTCTTTCTCTTCATAATTTCCCTATCCGGGAGGTTTGTTTGGGAGAAATGGCTAATTTCTAGAAAAAATGGCCGTTTTCTCGTCAACACGATAAGGAATGAAACTGGATATCTGTAATTGCATCACATAATGACTATTACTATTATTGACAGGTTCGACAGAAGAATATATTATGAGAATATAATATGTCTAGTTACTTGGAAAAAAGAGTCACGAAACTATTACTATTCTACCAGAACATGATTTGTATCGTTGCAGATCTCCTTAATGCGGAATTTTACGGTAGTTACGGCTGTGCATCACAGTAAACGGATTCACGACTATGTGAAAGGACCGTTTTAGGAAATAGGAAAAGTCATAGAAGAAAACACAGTAAAATCCGTCACTTAAGCCTCTTATTTATGTTGTTATTGTTAATTATAGCATTTGCTTTATTCATATAAACCAAATTCACCTTATTCAATGAAAGATCCTTTCTGTTCAAGCGCCATGAGACGTTCGTAAAACAAGAAAAATCGTGACGCAATCAAGTAAAACGCGACCGTTTCGTCTAGGCAAAGCTGCAATTCCACTGCTGAGCTTATCTCGTTCAGCATACAACCACTTATTCGTTTTATAAGGAATAAATGGCTTCCCTCAGCGTCCGGCAAAGTGGCGTGAAGTGAGCGTGCGAATAAATGGCCCCTTTGCTCAGATAAATGGCTAAGCCATGTACTACTTGCTACAAGAAAGTGGTCTTGTACTTCCATAAATGGCCTCTATAGTACAAAGAAAAAATGCATCCTAGGAGGGAGTTGCGGCAGCTATACAAGAACATCGCTTTCTCGTCGTGCGAGTCTTGTCCTGTTTTTAAAATCGTGGCACGAGTGAGCAAGTAATTGAAAAATGGCTCCTACCGTATATATTACTGATAATACGAATACAAATAGCTAGAATATTATATTTTCAGTTAGTCGAACCTGTCAAACTGCTAGAAGTAATATTCTAAACGTCACGTCTACATGCGTTCAATGAAACCAGTTTCTTTAGCCTTACGAGAGAAGTCTGTAAATATTGATTTCATATTTTTACTAACTGTGTTTTACTAGCTCTTTTTACTAAGCTGCAATTCCACTGCTGAGCTTATCTCGTTCAGCATACAACCACTTATTCGTTTTATAAGGAATAAATGGCTTCCCTCAGCGTCCGGCAAAGTGGCGTGAAGTGAGCGTGCGAATAAATGGCCCCTTTGCTCAGATAAATGGCTAAGCCATGTACTACTTGCTACAAGAAAGTGGTCTTGTACTTCCATAAATGGCCTCTATAGTACAAAGAAAAAATGCATCCTAGGAGGGAGTTGCGGCCCTCAGGGTGGCGCGCATCAAGTAAGTGTCACTGAAGTAAGCGTGCGTGAAGCTGGCGCGCGTCAAGTGAGCTTCCTTCAAGTCTACGCCCGTCAAGTCAGTGTCCCTCAAGTCAGCTTCCCACAAGTCAACGTGCCTGAAAGTGGCGTCAACTGAGCGCGCGAAAAAGTGGCCCATTTTCTCGAATAAACGGCTAAGCCGTGTACTACTTGCTGCAAGAAAGTGCTCCTGTACTTCCATAAATGGCTTCTATAGTACAAAGAAAAGAAGCATCCTACGACGGAGTTACCCGATCGCTATTAGACTCTCGAATTAAGACGCAATTTCAGCGATCGCTATAAAGTCTTGCTAGTGATATTTGACTCCCTTACATATAGTGCTTCTCGCGACGACATCTTGCTAGCTATACAAGAACATCGCTTTCTCGTCGTGCGAGTCTTGTCCTGTTTTTAAAATCGTGGCACGAGTGAGCAAGTAATTGAAAAATGGCTCCTACCGTATATATTACTGATAATACGAATACAAATAGCTAGAATATTATATTTTCAGTTAGTCGAACCTGTCAAACTGCTAGAAGTAATATTCTAAACGTCACGTCTACATGCGTTCAATGAAACCAGTTTCTTTAGCCTTACGAGAGAAGTCTGTAAATATTGATTTCATATTTTTACTAACTGTGTTTTACTAGCTGTTTTTACTAACAGCTGCATGATAAATTATTTTTGCATGATCGGTTATTCTTCTTCTCCAATGAGAAATCTTCGCGGTAAGATAATTTATCATGCAGCTTGAGCGAAAGATCAAGAAAGCTAGGAATATGAATTTAAACACGGTTTTTGAAAATTCAAAATTCAGGTGGGCTCGAATCTAATGACTTCTTGTGAATTTCGGGAAAAATCCACCGAATAATTACGTGGTTTATTCTACTAGAATGTAGTAGGGTATACGAGGATCTATAGCTGTTGTTAGGATCTAATTCACCTCGAAACACTCACCATATAGAAAGCCATATAGAGCATCATATGGAGATTATTGTCTTGCTGCATGACCTATAAGGTACAAGGCATTCTTCACGGTTGGTGCTGTATTTTAATAACCACTCCCTCTCATATTCCCATCCCAAAGTCGGCGTACCTCAAGTCAGCGCTGGTCAGTAAGCGACCCACACGAGCGAGCATCAATTTAGCGTCGATCAAGTCGGCACCCTCCAAGTGTGCGTACGTGAAGTCAGCGCTAACGAACGTGTTGACCATTAATGTCGTATTGCGAAGAAACGCCCCCCTAAGGTGTAGATTGGT